TTATTATTATTATTATTATTATTATTATTATTAGGTCTATTCGTGTTTAAAAATATATATATATACAGCTGGGGGCGATTCATGAAACATTTTGGGGCTGACGCCTCAGATGCGGGACTAACAACACCACTGTATGAGTACTTCTTCCACCACTGTTCTTATCTATTTAATGTGAATACTTTCGGTTTTTTGGAGTGTAGCTATTTACATTTGGACTCTGGTAACTTGTGACAGCTGTGCTATTATTTCTATCTTTACTGGCAGTGCTTATGTAAACTTGGAGGAAGAGATAATGTGGCAGTTGCAGTTTCACTTTCATGTCATAAGAATGGAATCCTAATAATGTGATGGAGAGACTCTTTATGAAGGTGACTGCAGTTTGTCTCAGTATTATTTGTGTGAACAGATCCACAACCTGTGTGTCAATGTGTCATCTGTAAATGTAAAACACCTTCCACAAATACAAAAAAAAAAAAAAAAGATTTATAAGCACACAAAAATATTTTACAAATATAAAAAAGATCCGCAAATACAAGACACAGAAAGAACTCAGCAATATATTTGACGGTGCATAAAATATAAATCTTCAAGCGTAAAACTAAGATGAACAAACAAAAACTGGATTCACAAATATCTGTATCTGTAATATCGAAAGTTTTAAATGTTAAGAAATTCACAAATGCTTTTTTAAATTTATTTGTAAATGAATTCAATATATTCACAGATTTTTTTAATATATATTTTTGCAAATTTGCATATTTGCAAATCCGTTTTATATTTACAAAATAGTTTTTTGATTTTACAATTTTGTTTTGTATTTGTGGAAGGTGTTTTATATTTACAGATAAATAGTAATATTGAGACAAATTTATCTCCAAACTACAGACTTAACTAACACATCAGATGAGAGGAAGTAAAAATATTTGTGATTCAGAAAAGTTTGGTAATTATTTCTCTCTCAAAAACCACGTTTGTTATTGTTTTAAATGGATGTAAGTTGTATTTCTGACACCTTACTGTTGGCACTCATCTGTTGTGCATCCTGTCTCTTCAGCACACAGCACACTTGTACATCAACCCCCAGCCTCCTCCTCTTCCTCCTATTTGCTGTGCTGCGGTCTCGTCCCGGGCTTCTCCACACCCTGTTACCATGAGTGCAATGCGTGTGGATGCTAAAGTGGTGATGCTGGGAAAGGAGAGTGTGGGGAAGACCAGCCTGGTGGAGAGATATGTCCACCATCGCTTCTTGGTCGGCCCGTACCAGAACGTGAGTGTCTGCTGATCTGCTTCCATTTCCATGTCACTAATGAAAGGCATTACTTTTATACTTGGCCCTGGGGAGGTCGTGGTCATCAGGCTCAAGTCTGTGGTCGTCTCAAAGCATTAAAGCACTGATACAAACTGATGCAGAGATGTTTCGCTTTGCTTCTTTGAGCACATTTTGCATTGGACAAGCATGTTATTAAGATTCTTACATATTAACCCTTTAAAAACAGGCATTCCGCAGACGGCTGCAGGAGATTGTTGTTAACATGATCCTGTTTGAATAGATCCAAATAAGAACTATAATAGTTAGAGCATTTATTCTTTTTGCAACAGAAAGCTACTGTTTCTGTCTTCCCCGTCATCATCGGCAGTTTGGCGCGGCATCTGCAGTGATGCAGCCGCTGTGCTGGACCGTCGTGGTGAAGAGGGAGCTGAGCAGGAAGGCAAAGCTTTCGATCTACTGGTCCATCTACGCCCCAACCCTCACCTATGGTCATGAGCTCTGGGTAGTGAGCGAAAGAATGATTTCACAGACACAAAGGGCCGAAATGAGTTTCCTCTGTAGGGTGGCTGGGCTCAGCCTTAGAGATAGGGGGAGGAGCTCGGACATCTGGAGGGAGCTCAGAGTAGAGCTGCTGCTCCTTTGCGTGAAAAGGGCTCAGTTGAGGTGGTTCAACATCTGATCAGGATCCTCCTGGGCGCCTGCCGCTGAAGGTGTCCCAGGCACATCCCACTGGTAGGAGGCCCCGGGGCAGACCCAGAACACACTGGAGGGATTATATATCTTATCTGGCCTCGGAACTCCTCTGGGTCCTCTAGGAGGAGCTGGAAAGTGTTACTGGGGAGAGGGATGTCTGGGGTGCTTTGAAAAAAAAGAAAAAGTCTAATTTCTGTTTTGTTATGACAAAATTTTCAAACTTTCATCATTTCATATTTTTTGCAGTTTAATACAGTTTATTGTCTTCTATAAACTTTTAGCTCAGGTTGGTCAGATTTTAGGGACATGAAGCATTTGATGATACTCCAAGAAATGACATCACACTAAGCAAAAATACCAATGTAGCCATAGCAGACTGTTTCTATCACAGAGTTTGAAGGGTTAATGTGGAAGCTGTTGTGACATGCCTGTCTCGTGTCCTGTTTAAGAAAACACCATGATGCATAGAGCGATACAGCGGCTCTGGAAAGTCACGGCTCAGTGCCAGTTCGGTACAGCTGGGATAAAAAATATGCATAAAGTGAAAACATTTCTATTCATGTATTCTGAACAGACAGTGTTCAAGCGTAAAAGACAGACACAGTCGTCCTGCTGAGGACTATTGTCATTATAAAAACAAGGACCATTACAAACACTTGTGGATCAAACCGTACAAACCCTTTCCCAAAAGACAACAGGTCACAACAGGCTTTAAAACTGGAAATCATCTCATGCTATGAAAATGAAAAAATACGAAATATATAGAATAATAAGACGAGTTTGAACATTCACAGCATTTATGTATTGCCGTGTATTTAGCAGTAAAATGTGACTTCACACACTGACACACCGTCCCCAAAATAATCAGTAAGTTGTCACTAATAAATTAACGGCCAACTAATTTGATAATAGTTAAATTGGTTTGAATTTTATTTTAACAAAACAAAGTCACATTTCTCTGATTGCAGCTTCTTAAATGTGAATATTTTCTGGTTTCTTTCCTCTGTGACAGTAAACTGAAGTGTCTTTGGGTTGTGGACAAAACAAACAAGACATTTGAGGACGTGATCTTTGACCCATGAACACACTGATCGACAGTTTTGAGCATTTCCTGACATTTTAAAGACCAATTAAGAAAGTAATCAACAGATTAACCGACACTGAAGTTCAGTCTGTGAGTGTCTGATGCTTGACTGCGACTGTTTTGTCTTCCCAACAGACTATCGGTGCTGCTTTTGTTGCCAAACCAATCCAGGTGGGAGAGAAGGTGATTACTCTGGGAATATGGGTGAGTCAGAGGCCGCCTGATATGAACTTGAGTCATTTTACTGCATCAGTTTCAGCTCTAGTGAGGTGAGATCTGATTTAGTGTTCCACCCCTTTAACATTATCAGACTCTAGATCAACGTTGATGCAGCAGCACCAGACACATTGTCTTTTTTTATTCTATGCATTCTTCTTTCAAAACCTAGTGCCTACATTACCCACAATGCAACTTGAACACAGTCAGAGATTCAGGTCAGAGCTCTGATCAAGCCCAAAATATCAGGCCCAACCTGACATGAACAAACAGAGTATCTGTCCACGTTTGACCTGAGCCAATCCACAGCAGTTGTTTTCAGCCCGATTTTAAAAACCTGAATTTCTATTGTTAACAAATATAACATGTTATATTTCATATTTTATATTTTATTAATATCAAGAGATTTATTACACGCTAAGGGCTGATGCATTTCCTCGCACCACCTCTCCTTCTTCTCTTCCTTATTTCCTATTAGAATAGTCTGTGGTCTCATGTACGACAGGTTCAGCAGAGTGGGCTGAGCCCCTCGGTGTGTCTAGTGTGCACGCCGATCCGTGCAACACCACTGCTGCACAAACTGATGCTCCTCAGCCATGCACATAAACTGAGAGCTCCCAGTACTGATCCTGCTGACAGGGCCACATTTATTTATATATTTGCTGTTTGTTTTTTAAGTTAAGTTTTCTGTAATTGGTAGGATTCAGGATTATTATTAGAGAAAATGTGATTTTGAGACTAGGTTAGAAAATCTGATTGTATAAACTTGGAATCTAATTTAAACAATTAATAAAGATCTTTTTATACGATGTTAAATGTTAGTGTGAGAAATAAGGTATTTATTTTAGTTTGAGGAAATAATGATAATAATAATAATAATAATAATAATAATAAAGCCAGGAGAAACAGCTGAGGTTTATGTGGAAATGAGCTGGGAGCTGCAGAGCGTGTCACAGTGGGGGGGGGATTACACAGCTCTTACAACCTGCATGGGGGTTGTAGGAATGTCGACTGTGTACAGAGACATTACACGCACGTTCAACAGGAAGCTGGAGCTCAGTTTTTTCTCTCCTCTCTGTCTCCCTCAGGACACGGCTGGATCAGAGCGCTACGAAGCCATGAGCAGAATCTACTACAGAGGAGCACGCGCCGCCATCGTCTGCTACGGTAAATCTAAAGTGTTCCTAATCACGTTACAGTGAACTCTCAGGTGTCGTAACTTTAACCTCTGGTGGCTGCGCTGGAGGTGTGTTTAGTTCTTGGGCAACAACAGCTGGATGTGTTTCTAAATCAACCTCAGAGCAAACAGAACTGAATGCACAGTGTTACTGTCTGTGGTGTGTTCAGTGGGGAACTGAGCACTGTGCTGCTGATACTATTTCAGGTGAAGCTGATCTGGTTTGGGCTGGCAGTTACATTTTATAACTGGGGGTTTTGGTGCAGAGATGCCGCTCTCTTAACTCTGTTTCCTCATGCTAACACGGCCTCAAGCTTTGAGTCACTTCGGATTTGTGACACAACTTTAAAGCTGCAGGTGGTACTTCTGTATTTTGACAGCTATTTTAGATTTAGTCTTGAGATCAAAGTGTTTTTTAGTTTTAGTCACATTTTAGTCGTTTTTATCCGTCATAGTTTTAGTCAACATGTTTTCTGTTCTTTCTCTTTAAACTAATCCAGTGAGGCTAATTCATGTCTCATAAATCAGAATCAAGGTGACAGGTTGTATAAAATAGTGTGTGTCATGTCTCCAGCAGTGTTTGACAGGTTTAAGGGCTGATTTACGAGCACACACTTACTGATCATCATTTGAAAAGCTCGACATCTCTCTATTTATGCTCTCAACAAATAACTAATGTGAGACAACTAGGATTTGTCCACAGGTTCATTGTAAACTGACTTATCCATCTGACTGTTAAGAAGCAGAAACATAACTTTCTTCATCTGCAACATGTTAGTCTGGAGGTTTAAACTGGTGTCCTCTCGCAGAGTTGGTGATTCAAACTAAACTTTCATCTCTGTCAGAGAAAACTGATCTGAATTCAGATTGTTTACTTACAGCACAGCTACACTCACAGATAACTGAGCCTCCTACCTGCCTGTCAAACACCATCAACCCAGAAACCTTCTCCAGTCCGGACTGAGTGGAGTCCTGCGGGGTGAAGCTGTGAAGTCCAGCGGCCGCTGGCTGCGAGCGGAGCTAACTGCTAACAGCCACTGCTGCAACTAACAAACTCCACAAATCCATTCAGCAGCTACACCATCCACAGTCAGACACACAAGGCTGATTATTTACTGCTGAATTACAGCTCACAACTCGCACCAACCGAAACATCCTGGTGCAGACTATTTACTGGAGTTTACCAGCCTGACGCTAATGTGGCATTTGAAGATAATTACAAGCACAGCTGCTCTCGGCTTTCAGTGACCGATAGTCCACCACAAACATTTTCATCAAGTCTCGCCCATGAAAATTAAACATAGATTTCCTCTTAGATTTTATTAAGATCTATTTTTCGCCCGACTACACAGGACCAACCTGAGTTAAAACACGTCCAGCTCAGCTTCTGCCACTCTCAGGTTACAGTCACATTTCCGTTCTAAGAAATTGGTCGACTAACAGCCCCAAAAGTGAGCTGTGATGTCATGTTTCTGGTGCAGGTAATAATTAAATATTCATAAGCGTGATCACAGAACTCGTTTCCGGTCGCCTCTCTGTCGGCTCCGCTAAACCTGTGCTAAATATATGCTCTTAAGTCTACGTTGAGGGTGGTGATGATGCTTCTTCTGGTTGATGTTGGGACAGTGGTGGTGGTGGTAACTGCAAGTCAGTTTTTTTTTTGGGAGAAAATCAACTCACCAGTCTATAAACTCAACTCCTGCCGACTTCTGCTCGCTGACTAGGTAGAGGTTTTCAAATGTTAACATCAGTAAACATTGAGGAAAAGATGGCACCTGTGGAACTAGCACTGCGTTGGGGAGGAGCAACCATGTGGCCACCTTGTTGAGGTCAAGATATGTATACAAACTGTGACGCATGCCTCCAGTCTGGAGCACATTCAAACAACAGATTATCAAACACACTGCAGCCAGTCTGGATACAGGGACAATTATAAAGCAGCAGCCAACAAGATACGAAGAGGCAACAAGGACTAAATTACACAAGTTGAAGGACAGATGTGACAAATAAATGATGGATTGACCGACTGATTGGGAGCATGCTGGAGATTGCACCAAAACAGGAAAGGCATGCTCGGATTCGTCCATCATTTGGGCCTCAGCAGAAAGGGAAACAGAGCGAATATTCGTAGCACAGAAATGTAATGTGACCACGCCTTAAGTGGTGGTAGCATAAATGCAAACCTACTGAAGAAAAGAGACCTAAACTGAACACTGACGACTCCAGGATCACTGCTGTGTGTGGAAAACTAACTGTAAATAACTTTGAGTTTAAAATCCATTCCAATAAACAGAGTTTGGAGAGTGACAGTGGGTCATTAGAGGAGTGCTGAGCTCATCTGATGCTGCACTGTGCGGTACGTTCTCACATTACATCAGTGCTGAGAGTCTGGGTGTACAAGCAAGGAGAGTCCCTGTAACTGAGTGGAGATATGGAAAAGGGCAGTGAGTCGAGAGAGGAGAAAACTGAGAGGACGAGAATCAGAGCGATCAGCAGCAGGATGTGGATACGAAGATAATCACAGTATGATAAGACTTACAGGGTCGGCGTGACACAAACAACATGCTGTTTATGTCTGTTTCTCTTTTTTTTTTTAGGAAACAGCTGATGGTATTTCCTGCAGATGACTCACTGCTGTCACGTTAACATCTTAAAATCTGCTTCTCTTTTACCTTCCATCTTCTTTCTGCAGATTTGATCAGTTTGTTTCTGTTGTCTTTGTTTTAATGTTTAACTTTTATATTTCTTTCATTTAACTTTGTGAAAATTCACTGAAATAATATGAGCTGGTTGATTGGTTGTGGATCCTGGTGTCTGTTTTGATATCGCTCTCCTTGTACACAGGGTTGTGTTGATGTCTCATTTTGACTTTCAGATCTGACCGACAGCAGCAGCTTCCAGCGAGCTCGGTTCTGGGTGAAGGAGCTGCAGAACTGAGAAGAAGTAAGAGAGCGTTTCTCGTCGAAAGTTCAGTGTGACAGAGCTGGATATGGTTTCTGTTTTACAGGACAGTTACTCTGCACCATCCTTATATATACACGTAAAGCTGTGGTAAAAAATGCAGGAGCAGTGAAAGTATGTGACTGTTTACACTGTTTTGGTGCACTGATACCAAAATGGTCATTTATCAATAAAAAGTAAAAATTATGAACACTTTTTTTCTCTACAAAATTCTGAATTAATTAATTAAAGAAGCAAAAATTCTCAAATCTTAATAAAATGCAGTCTAAAATTAAAAGTTTGATTTAAACCAGGAAATATCTGTTAAAAAAAATAAGGATCACATTTATCAATCTGATCAGACATGCGATGTCTTTATTATTATAGTTTTATATTTTGCATTAGTTTTTATTTTCAGTTTGTTTTAAATTTTTGTTTTCTATTTAGTTTAGTTGCCAGAGTGGGTTTGCTCTTTTCAGTTTAGCTTTTATTTAAAAATGTATTAGTTTTAGTTTTTAATCATAACAGGGGGGGTATATGTAAGAAGTCCAGAGTGGGTAAAACAATCGTGCAGACGTCCCAGTCTCAGTCCACAATCTGCACCGACATCTCTTCACACTTGTTGGGTTGACAAATTTGACCAAATTGTTCATGTATTTATTTTAGTTTGAACACAATACTGTTTCAGTTAGTCTATTTTTTATTTTCTATTTCATTTAACTAAAGATGTTTTTCATACCTTGTTTAGTTTTAGTTTAATGAACTTACTAAGATGGATGACTGATGACTTAAGAGCTGTGTCTAAGTGGTCGTCTGTCTGTGATTACAGTCACGTCAGAAATACAAAGTCAGTCGTGAGCCACTTGAAGTTATAAAATTCAAAGTGACATGTTGAACCTCTGAACTCACCAACGCTGTGTCGTGTTCTGCAGCACTGTAAGATCTACCTGTGTGGAACGAAGAGCGACCTGATTGAAGGAGATCGGAGACTGCGCCAGATCGACTACCACGATGCTCAGGACTTTGCTGACGGTAATTTAAGTCTCTGTGTCATTAACCTGCCTCTCTCATTGGTCACTATACTGGTCACTACACTGGTCACACTGGTGCTCTTACCTGGACAGAACTGTGTGTAATTAACTCGGTACACTTCAGTCATGCAGCCTTCATTAAGACGCATGACCAGCAGAATGATGTGGTTATTTTGGTGTCATATTTGTGTATGTGCACTAATTTGTATATAAAATATGTAAGAAACTGGTTAGTGATTTAATTCATAACATATCTGATCCTTTGATTTAGTTTATAAAAGATAAAAAATGTATGAGGGCTGCAACTAATGGTAATTTTCACTATTATTGCTATATATTTGTTGATTATTTTCTTATAGTTTAAGTGATGGTGCAGCTGTAAAACATCAGAAAATAGTTTTAAAAGGGGTCGACACAGTTCAACCAACTGTCCAAAATCCAAACATATTTAGTTTAATATCACAGAAGACTAAAAATCAGCATATATTCATATTAAAGAAGCTGAAAACTGAATATATATGCATTTTTTTTTTTTGCTCAAAAGTTACAGAAACAAATAAAAACCAAAGTAGTAACCTATTAATTTTCAGTCAATCAACTTGTTTATGCTCTAAACTTGATTCATTTTAAAGGGATAGTTCAGTTTTTTTGAGGTTGCGTTGTATGGGGTACTTGTCCACAGACAGTATAGTGTATATATATAGTATTACATACAGTAGATGTCAGCTGACATACCTCCAGTGAGTCCGACATGGAAGCTAAGCAATGCACTGCTGTGGAGGGGTCAACAACAAAACATATTTTAGACACCTAAATAAAGTCACACCTAAAAAAATCTATGTCAGTTATGTGTACACTATATTTAGAATATTCTCTCAGCTTTACCTTCATGTCAGAGATTTCCAGCTGGAAAATGAAGCTGTTAAATCTCTCTCTTCGAAGCCAGACTCCATTGAGAAAAACAGTGATTTAACATATCTGAACACAGGAGCTGCTGGTCTACTGCTGCCTTGAAGAGTTGTGTTATTGTGTGACTTTGGTGTTTTAAAGGGATTAGTTTGGATTCACCAAAGTCACACAATAACACAAACTAACTATCTGATCCAAGCAGCAGTAGACCAGCAGCTCCTGTGTTCAGTGAAGTAAAATTAGTGGTTTTGTCAATGGAGTCTGGTGGATTTGACAAGACCATTGTTGGGAATCTGAAGTCATTAATGGCTTCCCCATTGGAGCAGGCTGTCTGACAGGAAAAGTAAAGAATAAAATACTCACAATAGAGCAAACACTTCAAGTGATCAACATGTTTTTAGGTGGGACTTTTTTTTAAGTGGATGTAATACGTTTTATTGTTGACCAATCCACAGCAGTATGTTACCTAGCTTCCATCTCCAGCCTGCTTCTCCAAACTGGGAGCATTTTTACTGACATCTACTGTTTGTGGATAAGTACCTCATACAACTATCCTTTTAATATTTTGCTTCACTTTTTAAATATTTGTAGATACTGGATTAACAGAGTCTGTAAAGGGCAAATTAAATTTCCAAATCTTTCTCTTACTGACAGTCAAAAGTATGTGCTTGTTGACTTTGACAGTTTCAGCTGTGGTCGTGACTCCCTCCTCAGAAGTGTCGCAGGTTGTGGTGTGACAAGAGTCCGCTTTTTGTTACGAGACAGTTGGTTCACTGTCGGGCAGCGTACGTCACACCACCAACTGTGACTGTGTCTGATGAAGGCGGCTGAACTACAGCTCATCGAGCTCTGTATTCTTACTGCACACGTGTTTGCTACTTACAACCATCGTTCAGCCGTGGAAAAAGTTTTCTCTGAGCCATTCATCCTGCTGTGCTGCTGCCACAGTGGGTGCGTCTACATGCACACCAATAATCCTCTATTAGTCTGAATTTTATGTGGATCACTTAGCATATTTTGTTTAGATTTTCCAAACTAGGCCTTTTTCCAAATGCAGCATCTTTCTTTAAGGATGCCGTTACTATTCAGGTTTTAAAACCATTATTTAGACATGTATTCAGGTTATTTGATATATGTGTCTCAAGTGGGGTTTTTGCAGCAGTTTGCGACACACAGCCTCTTGTCCATTTACAGTTGGCTCTGTGCGTTGTTGTGGATATGCTGTAAACAAGCCAACTCTCCAACAGTTTGTTTATTTTTGATAACTGATTTTCATTTTATTTTCTTGTCAGCTTTTATAAGTTTTTTGCTCATTGTCATTTTTCCCCCCATGCTTTCAAAAAACAAAAAAATCAAACCGATTTTCTCAGATTTCAAAGGTTTAAATGCTTGTAAAAGGCGTCTGAATGCAGCACAAGAAAACTGATGTCGATCCAGGTTTCAAAGGGTTAAGGGTCATTCTGACTGATAATAATGGTGGAAGCTTACGTTTCGAATTTGAGCAAAATAAATAACTTAATAAATTAATCTTTAAGTGGTTCATCCATCCAGGTTCTGCCACTTATCTGGGTCCAGGGAGCTTTAATTTAATGAATTATAATATCAGGAATAAGTGTTCTACTGCTGAGAGGAAGTTCTGAAAAGTTTTCCTGGAATGACCTAATTCTTGTACAAATGTTCCCTCATTTCTGGCATTAAGACGGTCTTAAAAAGTCTGAGCCTGAACCTGGCGAACCCTGCAGAAACTCTGTTTAAGAAACAAGTTTAAAGCTTTACATTCTAGCTGTCAGCAGAGTTAATCCTTTAACCTGGAAAAAAAGGGGAAACCAGGATTTACATTTCCATGAACATTTCTGCTATTAGGTGACTGCCCAGACTAGGAAATAATGAGATTACTGAAACGCTTGTAAACATCCAGAATGTGGTCAAAGGATATTAGGAAACGTTTGATCCCTGTCAGCATCTGTGTGCCACCGTCTGACTGACATTTAACCTCCATATTATGGTTTGCTTCCACAGAGATTCATGCGCAGCATTTCGAGACCTCCAGTAAAACAGGAAACAACGTGGGTGAGTCACACCTCCAGTCATCTGCAGACACATTTAACATCAGTGGCTGGCTCCAATCACAGCTGTATTTGCTCCTGTTTGTCAATGAGGAAGTGGGTTTCCTCAGGACTCTGATATTGAAAAATCTGGGCAACTTCTGAAGTGCGTAAAGACACTCGATTATAGTCAGAGAACATCCAACAGGACGCAGCAGATACAGTTAATACTTCAGGAAACACTGTTGAGTGGCTGCTGCTGTTCTGCAGAAAAGTAAAACTGAAACACAAGAATGATCAGTTGTTTCACTGCCTTTAGAAAGCTGTGATAAATGTATCACTCATGGTGCTGTAAAACCTGCCCTGTTTGGTTCGGTTCAATCAAACTTAAGTTGGTTTGCCCCCTCAGTGCGGTTCGTTTGGGCAGGTGTGAACACAGCAATCGCACTCAGGTGTGCACCAAAACAACCAGACTGAGACCTTCTTCAAAAGGTGGTCTCAGTCTGGTTATAAACGAACTCTGGTGCGGTTCGTGTGCGGTGAGAACGTGTTGCGACCTGGATCTGAACCAACTGCAGTCACATGACACATTGTTTGGGTTAAACATGAGCATGTTACAGTTCTGGAGGATTATTAATGTGCACCTCCTACTGTACTGCCTTAATATGCACATTCAGCACATCCAATGCATCAAAACATTGTTTTCTAGTTGGAGCCGCGCCTCGTTTTCAAACTGTATGGTTTGACTCAAATGAACAATGACAGCAATATAGTCCACGATGAGCAGCGCTAAAATCAACCTGCGTAGTTGTCCCTACATTGTGACATTAGAAAGTGTCACATTTATCTTGCAAGTGTACTCTTCTTCAACGTTTGCTTTACTTCCTGAATTTTTCCCACATGGAAATTCTGACCAATCAAGAGCAGCTTTCTCAGAAAAGGCATTTGATCTGGTCCGCTTGTAAATGCTGCCGTGAGAACATGAACCAACTCTAGGCAATTATACAACTTTGGAACAACATGAGTCCCTGATTCAGACCAAAGGAGACGACTCTAGGTCTGAGAGCAGCCTCAGTCGTCACCTCTAACACACAAAGCTTCATAAATTGAGGATGGTCAATTCACGCGGTTTTCTCTTACAACCACAACAACAATCAGACCACTTTCTTTGCATTTTTAAAAATCTGCATTCAGGTTAACATCTGAGGCATTAAAACTAGAAAAGCAGCTGTACCTCATTTGAATTCAGCTTCTTTTAGGCAAATGTCTCGTTATGTAAATGTGAAGCAAATTTAATGTCCGTCTCCTGTCTGATAAAGCTCTTGAGTCTGAATTGAACACTATCAGAGTATTTTAAAGGCTACAACAGGTTAAAGGTCCAAATGGGAAATCTAGCAGTGTTTCCCCTACCATTATATTAGGGGGGCCCAGAAAAAGGTCCAGAAATTTTTTTTTTTTTTTTTTTGCGGTTCTTTAAAATTTTGTCTCTTTTAAAATGTACAATGATTTTTTTCCTTTCAGTGTTTCAACACAGGCAGTTTATAAAAATGTCAAATTACACCGCACTTTTCTGCAGTATTTTTTTTTTGTGTGTGAACATGATTTAATACAGTATGCCATAAGAATATTGGGTTTGGGGCATCTCTGACTGAACACACTGCATGTTTGAAACCAGCCTTTGTGCAGTTATTGCTTGTTATAAAACTGGTATCATGACTGTGAGTGGAGCTGTGGTTGTGAATGACCTGATGGAAACTGACAGGCCTCGTTATGTTTCTACTCGACAGATGAGTTGTTCCAGAAAGTTGCCGAGGATTACAACAGCACTGCCTTCCAGTATATGACAGGTGAGCGTTTAATTCACATGCAGCTGATTCAACATGCTGAATTGGCTGAAAAATAAGCCACACTACATGCTACAAAGACGAGTACTAATGTTCTAATGTTTTAGGCTAGCTACTGGCATTTTGTTAGTGTTTCAGCCCTTGGTTACATAGAGTGCAGGGTTCCCACAGTGATGGAAAACCTGGAAAAGTCATGGAACTTTACAGTCACATTTTCCAGGCCTGGAAATGTCATGGAATTAATAAAAATAATTAAAAGTTTTGGAAAAGTCATGGAAGTTTGTTGCGTTTAATGAAATTGTTGCAGTAATCTTCCACGTGGATAACCTTCCACATAATGTAACATAACGGTAAATATATTTTCTGTTGCTGTCGGCGCAACGTAGCTCTACTATGTGTTGATGTGTGACATTTGTTAAATATCTCGTACGTCCCCTCATTTTCTCTCCGTGCTCTGCCTCTCCCTCTCCCTCCACATGTGCCGGCTAACTGACATTATGTTTGAATAGAGTTTAAAGCTGATATGTTTAAAAAACACCGGGCAAGTCTAGCAAGATAAAATATAAATGTTTTATGGTATGCGTAAGGCATTTTAGAGTGGACATCTTCAGCAACTAACATTACATAAAGCATGCAATAGACTTCGTCTCCCTCTTCCTGACTGATATTATAATCCTGTCAGTGCTACACTGTCGGGTCCCTCACTGTAATGACTGTTTTGACATGGTGTCTTTTGAAAGATCAAATCAAATTCCTTACAAAGTCACATCCTGCCTGCCTGTCCTTGTTTACTCGGAAATATGTCACAATACTGAAACTGGATACTCACGAAATGCTGTTTCATCTTGACTTAAAGAAGTACTTCCACCAATGGAATGTAAGGTGTAAAATTATAGCTGCTGCGCAGCGATGGGTCGGGTCCAGGCATTTTTAGGCAATTCTGAGCAACAAGCAGAAGAATTGGAAGACATTTAGGAATTGCATCAGCTGAGGCTTGAACTCACAACCTCTGAGACTAAGAATCAATTTCTATCTCACTGAGCTAATTAGTCAGTGACAATTCATGTGTAGCTTCACAAATTGACTAAGCCAGACGTGCAGGTTTAGCAGCCGTCCATGCATGGAAAAGCAGATTTCAAACCACTGTAAAAAAATTCAGTTATCGAAACAAAAATCTGAAAATACACATATTGCATCTCAACAGCATGGAGATGTTGGTAATTTGTTTGTAACAATGATTGATTTGCTCCCTAAGTGAAAAACTGATGTTTAAAATTGCCATTTTTACATTGACTCCAATTGTTCACATTAGAGCAAAATTCAAAATGCTGTCAAAAATTCAGTTTTTGAGATAAAATTCTGAAATTTGCCACACATCATCTACCATGACTCTAGAATTTTGTCTTTTTTTTTCATGAACATTGAAGATTTATTTAGCAAGAATTTGCATGTATATGTTTCCAGTACCGTTTACAGTAGGGATGTCCCGATCCAGCTTTTTCACTTACGATCCGATACCGATATTGCAGCCTTGAGTTTTTACCGATACCAGTCCGATCCAAGCGCATATTATACATATTCACTTATTTTGTTGTCAGTCATGTTAGAAAAGGTTTGATCAAGCAATATTACTCTAACAAGAACAACTTAATGATCCACAACAGTTGGTATGAGAATCTGACCTGTTTATTGTTAACAGGGTTAAATAAACAAACTTTAAACTTGAACATTAACATTAAATAAAAAATATAGCTGGTTTGCTTTGGCTGCTTTGGCCCCTTAATAAATAGAAAATAAATCAACACAAGAAATCTTTAAAATGTCTAACATTGAAATTAAAATAGCAGCAAGACTCCACACACTTGTGCTTTGGCCCCCTAATAAATAAAAAAAAGATTAATAAATAAAAAAAAGATTAACACCACAAGACATTGTTGACATTTAACAAACAATGCAGCCTTTTCTTTTCAGTTATTCTTTAGTGTCAGTGCCAGCCTGGTGCTGCTGTTTCCTGTGTGTCTGCATGCTGGCCTGGTGGATTGATAGTGCTGGAGCGGATCACTGGAATAGACTGCTTGAATCGCGGAGTGCTGGGCTGGCCGGAAAACCTAGATCAGACGCCATGAAAAACTGGATCGGAATTCTTGGATCGGCATTTTTCCATGCAGTCTGGACATCCCTAGTTTACAGTCAAACATTTTGATGCACTGTAGGGTCAATTTTTGATAAATCAAAAATCTGAGAAAAGTAGTAGACAGTCTGAAGACAGTTTGCTCTGTAGCAAGTTTGGTATCAATTGAGCAAAAATTGTGGGAGGAGATAGGTTTAAGAAGTTTTACATTTTTTTGGAAAAAAAAAAACAGTGATGAACTTAATAATTTTTAATAGGCTTAAATGTACAAAAGTTTTGTTAAAAAAAGTATTGGGGCTACAGTTTGATGAAAGCTGTGAAGTTGTAGCACGTATGGTTGATTTGTTATGAATTTTCAGAGTTTTGAACTTTAGACGCTTGCTGTAGCGCCACCATCAGGACTATTGGCTTGAGTTTAACGCTGAGGATATCTGGCACCCATGGGAAGTATGATTTCCACGGAAGAAGAAAGAAGAAGAATAACTAGGATTACTATAGTGTCCTGGCAGCTTAGCTGCCCGGACCCTAATAAGGCAAAATGTGCCAATAAAGAAAACATTCAAAAGTCCAAACAAACACGCTCAACCCTCAGAGGTATGAATGGGTGCTGAATCCTCAATGAAAAATGTAAAAAATGTGTACAAAAAGTAAATAAAGAAAACATAAAATATAGTGAGGAAACAGAGCCGGGGGTCTCAGGGGCGGGTCGTCCAATTTCGGGGGCAGAAGTCGCTGAGGTAGTGAAGGAACTGCGCGGCAGCGGGGCCCCAGGGTTGGATGAGATTCGCCCTGGATATCTCAAAGCTCTGGATGTTGTAGGGCTGTTCTGGCTGACACGCCTCTGCAACATTGCATGGACATCGGGGGCAGTGCCTCTGGAGTGGCAGACCGGGGTGGTGGTCCCCATCTTCAAGAAAGGGGACCAGAGGGTGTGTTCCAACTACAGGGGGATCACACTCCTCAGCCTACCCGGTAAGGTCTACGCCAGGGTGCTGGAGGAGAGGGTCCAGTCGATAGTTGAACCTAGGATTGAGGAGGAGCAATGTGGTTTTCGTCCTGGACGCGGAACCGTGGACCAGCTCTTTACCCTCGCCAGGGTGCTGGAGGGGGCATGGGAGTTCACCCAACCAGTCCACATGTGTTTTGTGGATTTGGAGAAGGCTTAAGACCGTGTCCCCAGGGGCATCCTGTGGGGGGTGCTCCAGGAGTATGGGGTTGGTGGCCCTTTGCTAAGGGCCATCCAGTCCCTGTACCGAAGGAGCACGAGTCTGGTTCGCGTGGCTGGCAGTAAGTCGGACCTGTTCCTGGTGAGGGTTGGACTCCGCCAGGGCTGCCCTTTGTCACCGGTTCTGTTCATAACTTTAATGGACAGAATTTCTAGGCGCAGCCGAGGGGTGGAGGGTGTCAGGTTTGGTGACAGGAGGATCTCGTCCCTGCTATTTGCGGATGACGTGGTCCTCCTAGTTCCATCGAACAGTGACCTCCAGCTCTCGCTGGGACGGTTCGCAGCCAAGTGTGAAGCGGCTGGGATGAGAATAAGCACCTCCAAATCTGAGGCCATGGTCCTCAGCCGGAAAAGGGTGGATTGCCCACTCCAGGTCGGGGGGGAGGTCCTGCCTCAGGTGGAGGAGTTTAAGTACCTCGGGATCTTGTTCACGAGTGAGGGTAGGATGGAGCGGGAGATTGACAGACGGATTGGTGCGACGTCAGCAGTGATGCGGACGCTTAACCGGTCCGTTGTGGTGAAAAGGGAGCTTAGCCAGAAAGCGAAGCTCTCGATTTACCGGTAGATCTACGTTCCAACCCTCACCTATGGTCATGAGCTCTGGGTAGTGACCGAAAGAACGAGATCGCGAGTACAAGCGGCCGAAATGAGTTTCCTCCGCAGGGTGGCTGGGCTCAGCCTTAGAGATAGGGTGAGGAGCTCGGACATCCGGAAGGGACTCGGAGTAGAGCCGCTGCTCCTCCACATAGAGAGGAGCCAGTTGAGGTGGTTCGGGCATCTGGAAAGGATGCCTCCCGGATGCCTCCCTTGGGAGGTGTTTCGGGCATGTCCAACTGGGAGGAGGCCTCGGGGCCGCCCAAGGACACGCTGGAGGGATTACATCGCCCGGCTGGCCTGGGAACGCCTCGGGGTTCCCTTAGAAGAGCTGACGGAGTTGGCTGGGGAGAGGACTGTCTGGGCTTCTTTGCTGAGGCTGCTGCCCCCGCAACCAGGACCCGGATAAGCGGAGGGCGACGAGAAGAGACGATAAAATATAGTATAGTACGGTGATATAACATAGAATTAGAAATAAAATACTGTACAGAGTGTGGCCCAGTTGCAGCTTATACACAGAAAAAAGCAGCAGTCCTAAACTTGATCCCTGGGGAACACCAGAATGAAGAAATTCCTACTTCAGAGCTATAATATAGAATATTTTTTAACATTTTGGGAAATACACTTATTTAATTTGTTGCCGATATCTCTCTTAAATCTGTATTTTAAAAATCAAGCTTGGTGTTAAGCTTAGCATAGCATAAAGCCTGGGAACGGGCAACAGCTGCCCTGGCTCTCCCCAAAGGTAACGAAATTTTCCTACCAGCACCTCTAAAGGTTACCACTATAGACTGTATATAAAAGGTGGATGACATGACAGCTCCCTGAAAGTGATCATCCTGATCGCCCCCTTGTGGGTGGCTGCAGTAATGGTCATAAGCCCCGCCCTCTCCATGTTAGTGGATATTAACAGCTGTGTGTGCCAATCGGTGTGCTCGCTATCAGTGGTGCTGCTCGTGATTGGTCAGATGGGTGAATGGACAGGAACTCGATCTGTGCTGCGCAGACTCTGGCTCCAAAATATGTTGCCAGCCCAAGACAACAGCAGTGGTGTCGGGGATATTTTGGCTTAATTTTTCTACAGTGGGAGAAGTGGAGACGCATCGTCCATCTGTATTTACAGTCTATGGTCACTACATTATATCTCATTTGTTAAATCCAAATAATGTGTTCATGAAAAATAACTTGAGTATCTAAGGGACCAGATTTTCCTCCACCTCCTGAAATGATCCCAAAGCTGTTCTAAGTACATATGTAGATCTTGAACATAAAGTCTCTTCCTGTGTCTCAGCAGAGGAAACAGGCGTGGACCTGGGCCAGAAGAAGGACTCATATTTCTACTCCTGTTGCCATAACAACTGACGCCAAGCAACAGGAAGAGAAACAGAAGTGGTCACCTTCCCCTCGGCTGAAGTAAAAACCTGAATATGCTGGATGGGCGGTCACATAACTCAGCTCTGGTCCTGGGATCTGCTGTTACACCTTGTTAGATATGTTTATTTCTTTTGTGCCATAAAGAACTAACGGCTGCAAGACTTTATGGAAGAGGATCTACTCCTGCTGCAACTGTTACTGGGTGGAGTGGGATTTAAAAACAACAGCGCTCCTGCTCTCCACCCTGTTAGGTCCCCTCTGTAGCTTCCTCTGGGCTGGACCGTGGAAGTGAACATACCCTTAAATCTGCGCTGTTAAACAATCAGAAGTGAAAAAGAGGGATCCCGCTGGACTCAGACCGGCTTAGAGAACGTGACTGTTGTAGCAGCGCTTTAGGAGGGTGGATGGTTTGTTTACAGCAGTTCATTTTTGTTTACCTCCAACACTATTTAACCTTGTCATGGAAATTGTCTGTTAGTCTTGCACATCTTCGATGAAGCCCACAAGAATGAAGTGAAGCCAACTAGGATATAAAGTGTCAAAAAACACACTCCTTTGTTCCCAGTCTTAATTCAAATTAATTCTTATACCTTTGTAAATGAAATGATACCAATGATCTTTATAAAGGCCTTATTACCCACAGTAGTAATGTCAGGACCGTGTGAGTGTCCAACTCTCCAGAGCACTGGCTCTTCAGTGTTTACTACGACATTATGGATGTATTAAAGGTATAATATGCAGGATTTTCCTAAAAAAGCAAACCCAAAAAACTAAATATAGATTCATACAAACGTAATCCCTCTCAGTCATCAGCGATCTATTTATTTGGAGACAGGCTGTATCTTCTTGTTTCCTACATTCCCGTACATCCTACATTAATATTCATGTTGGAGTTCAACTTTGGTGAACTTTGACTGGCCAATAGCAAAGAAGTATGTGTGGAGGAGACATTGAGTATGTTTACATACACACTAATGTTCCAAATTTGACAATATTCTGAATTTGATACAGCTCATGTTAACAGCACATTATGTTTAAATATATACGTAATTAGGCATTTTTCCAAATTTAGCATATTCAGCTCAGGGGAAACTTTGGTATTTTTCAACCTGTCTCATGTTTTTGTGTCTACGTGACTGATGGCAAGAGTTTACAAACAGTAAACAACAAATCCTGCATAGCATACCTTGAAGAGAGCTGGATACGGCATCACTGGTGGTCACTCATGGTACTGCACCAAGAAAAAAAAAATCCCCAGTGACCCAAAAGGCATTTTTCCTAAAAAATACCATTATAAAGGAGATGTCTAAAAAACTATTGAATCTTTGTATTATGAATTTTTAATCCAGGAAGGTTTTATATTTGTAAAACTTGTGAAGCCTGTGGGATGAGCGGGAACGTGTTGATGGGACCAGCAGGTAAAGCTGAACCCTTCTTAATAAGCATCTTTTGTTCAAATTAACGGCGGCCATCTTTGGAGTCCTGTATCCAATTCCTGTAATACATCCATAGTGACACCACGAGCAACATGTCTCTGGTCCGTTAAACTTGTGCAGCATTAAGCTATGACTCTGATTTTAAGGTGGCGGTTACTAAAATGCCAAGTAATTAAATTGCACCGTGTGAGCTCGCTGAAAGAAAATTTTCGGGACAGTTACTTTTCTACGTTTAAACTCTAAATGTTCTATTTTGTAATTTAAAATTCATAGAGCACACATGGAAATGTGACTGTTAAATTTTCTTTCAGTCTCCTGTGGCGGTGAAATATTCCTCCGAAGCTCTGAAAGGTTTTAAGACACACTGTTGCAGAAAGTTGTTTAAAGTTCTCCTCGGCTGTGGTGAGAAGATTTCACCAACACAGCAAAAACAAGAAGCATTGTGGGTGAATGTTGTAACATGGTTCAAACCGTCATCTCAGTGTCCTCAGAACAATATTTACAGTTGTATTTAACTTAAAGACTCTAATTTATTGCCTTTTGAGTTGTGCTGCCAGAAGACACGGGGGAAATAAATGGACACAGCGTCAGTTTCCTCCATGTTGCTGCTTTGACGTGTTGATGTTTCATGTGTTGATATTTTGATGCACAATATTTTATACTGAGGGCTGTTTCAGACGGACCAGTGTAAAGTACAGTTATGTTCTGTCAAATTAAAAGCTGAATGTTTCAAAGCTCTGTTAGATTTTACAGTGATTGATCCTCCATTTTGTTTTTCCTCTGGATTTAATATCTGAGCTTCTTATGCATTTGAGTTAAAAATAATGGAAACTTACTGGATGTAAAATGTAATGTAAATATCGCAGATCTTAAATGCATCACAGCCCACAGAACTGAATTTTGTGCTCAGTTTGGTGTTTGCAGCAGCTTCTTCTTATTTCACTCACAGATATTCTGCTGGGTTCGAATGTCTCACCTCCGTAGTATAATCTTGTGCCATCTGAGAAGGGAAAAAATAATTAAATACAAGCTTGTGCTTTGAAAATGGAGGTTGAAAACAGCAAAACTGTCACTTAGACTAAACACCACACAAGGAAAAAAAATCACCTGTGTTTACAGTTAAACCTTCCATACTGTGGTTTAAAGGGTTAAACCTGTCACTTGTGCTTTATACTGCAAACTATTTTAAGAATAACACCTGTTAGTTTTCAGCTTCCTTACAGGTTGAGAGCATTTCCAAAGCTGTGGTGCATTTAGGGACATTCTGACATGTTAGAACTGATTATCATCACACCTCTGGAACACAAAGAAACATTATCTGCAGGTCTATCAGAGACTGATTTAGAGATCCTAGAGAACTAGGATACAAAGATAATATATCAAGTAAAATAATCCACACACTGTTAACTGGCTCCCGTTATTATAAATGCCACATTTTGGTCAGACAGACGTCGTCAGTCATCAACTACTTTACTTCAGTAGCAGAAACAGTCTGACATTAGCCTACTTTAAAGTGTTTATGTGACATATTCAGAGGAGTTTCTTCAGCATCCGACTAAACAGCAAAAAATATTCTATACTAATGTCACATACAGCTCAGTGATACCTGCACGTAATTTAAGTCTCGGATGACGGTGTATTTTCGGATAGTTTTCAGTGTTTCTACATTTTCCATTTTAAGATTACAGAGTGTCATTTACATCCCGTGTCACTGACATTTTACTGTCTTGTAGTCACAGACACTTCTGCTACCATTTCATGATATGAAGCGGCCCACATAAGAAGTTTTCACCCAGCGTGTAAAGGCCATATAAGATAATGTTAATCTTATCTAACATGAAATGTATGTACTATGAGCTCAACATCAGTTTTTCTGTGATATGTAGATGCATCACTCAGTTATTCAGGCAGATGGAAGGCATACAGTGGAAAGCTGCACAACTTGTTGTAAGCTGTTCTACTGCCCCCTTTGCCCTAAATATAAGCCCAGCCAACCTGCCAAGCTCCAGCGGCACCTTGATGTACACATCAAAAACGCCATCACATTCAAAGGTATGTATCTTTATGTGTCTGTGTGTGTTCTTGTGTCTTGTTAGTCATTGGCTAATTTAAATTTTTTTTCGTGACTTGCTCTTAGACAAAAAAATCTGTGAATGCAATTTGAACTGCCAGAGTGGAGGACATTTTCATTGCCCTAAGTGTTATTAGAAGGACAGACATGGAGGGACACCTGAAGGCTTGCCAAGGTGCCACAACATCCTCAGCTGCTGCTCAATGCAAGCCAGACCCTAGTCCATCAGACACATCTGCTACACCCTCTCCCCTGCTTCCACCATCCACCATTCGACATGTCTCCTCCTCTGCAGGATTGACTGTTCCTCCTCCCCAACAAGATACAAACGCGCTTGCTGTTCCCTCGACACAGTTAACTAAACCCTCTGCCATCCCCTTCTCAGCAGATACACATGTCCATTTTAAACCTGATTCAGCAACAACTGTAGCCTCCTCACCACTGGTGTCAAGTTCAGCTGACATGTCTTTGGTCCCTACTGCCCAGGAGACTAAAACTCCAACAATAACCCTTGACATACTGCAAATGTCAAATTGATGATTGATTGCCTTGTAGGGAACGACTGTTGTTGCTGTGCTGAATGAAGGGCAACTGATTGTTTGATCATTTTGTCATTTTATGTGTGGTTTTTAAATCAATAAATAGATTTAACTATTCTTGCCCTTCACGTATGCTGACATTGTTATATATATTTAAGCATAGTAAAAAATTTGATTGGCCTATATAAACCAGCGACAAAAGCGCAACAATAGCGCTTCCACCGGAAGTGTCTACATGATTTTATTTTGAAGTTTATTGTGTCTAAATGATTTTATTTTGAAGTTTCTTGCATGCACTTCCCAGCCTGAGACTAGAGGCTGCACCGGAAGCGACCCCACACTGGAGGTCTGCAGCCAGACTCTCTTGTGTGGCATCATTCATGGCTCTGATGATGTCACTCATAATTAACACCCCAGCCCCTTTCACAGTTGGCTGAACTGGTTGATAACCAGCTTTGTAGTACCAGTTATCCAGATGGACAATTTGACGGGTTCGTCAAACCAGATAATGAAAGAATATCCTGGGTAAGTTGAGCTGGCTTCGTAGCACAGGCCTCAGGTCATTTATGGAGATCACCATGTTGCATCTTCATGTTTCTACAGTAGCCCAGAATGGACAAACCAAACACTGGCTCCAGATCACCATGGTAAGAAGCCAGACTGCAATGTGCAGAGCTGGAGTTACACTGTTATGTAACATGAAACTGCTGTATTTAGTGTTTCTGGTGGTTTAAATCACCTGATCTGTTTGTTTAGAGATTAAAAGACTTATGTGGATAATTTGGCTTCAGGTGAAAACCTCCTGAACATCTGGATCGTTTGTTATCGGAGAAAAAAAGGTGCATGTATACATGTATGTCTTTGAGAAATTCAATTTACTACGATTTCAGTCAAACTAACATGTTCACATGTATTTTAAAAGTCCGATTTTAGTCCGACTGACACAATAAATTAATTTTGCTCTTATGTCATGTGAATCTACTGACTGTTATACAAACGGTCATTATACAAACGGTCATTTTACAGGTGAAATATTCCTTTAAAACAAGTGGGAGGAGAAATCTGAGGAAACATACCTGTGTTTTGTTTCATATTGTTAAAATCACTTCCCATCCTGGACACTGTCGGCAATGTCGTTCTCACCACCTCCGCCCTCCTGCTGCTGCAAAAACAAATCCATCGAGTCGTTTACAGGAAGTTTAAAACAAGTGGGATAAATAAAAAGTACAGAAAATCATGACTTACTTGGCTTTGGTGCGGTGTGACAAACTTTGTGGACTCTAAACACACGACTACACAGACGAAGAAAGAACGAGGCCGGTACGAAGCTCATTCCATAACTTCTTTTTCTTATATATTTATATAGCAGTTGTTTGAACAGGTCAATGGTTGAGATCTAACAGGTCATAATTACACTGGAATGAAACATTGCTTGTTGGGCGACTGTAAAAAGGCATTAGTAGGGACACTTGGCTCTCACAGGCGCCAAACCATTCCTTAAAAATATCTCCAAAGAAATACACTCTAAGGCATTGGCAGATAACACACAGACAATATTAAGCTTGAGGACAGAGCAAAAAACACATGTCGCAAGAACACATACTGAAGTGCAAGCATCATAGCAGGAGTCCGTTGTTTCAAGCATCCCATCGAAGACTTTAGTTTGACTGAGAGTCGAGACGAGGAGGGAACCAGGAGCTAACACTCCCCTGACTCTCCACCTCCTCCTCTTCATCATCACTATTTGTGCGTCACTGAACAGTAGATAAATAATGACTACAGAGCACAGCATACACACTGAGGCTAACTATCTCTGCATTCAGACCACCAGGGCGAGACTGACTCTTTGTGACGGAGGATATGAGCCTCAGAAGCGTCCAACTCGTCTCCTTATAGAGCTGCTAAAGAACCTACGAGACAGCTTCAGCATCCCATCCTGGTATCAACACTTTCTCTGAGGCATGAAGACTGTTCTCAGTCAAACACTGAATCCTCGTCCGTTTATTTTGGCGTAAAATTAAGAGAACTCGAGATGCCTGCTGTTGGCAGTATCACTAGTCGTGTGAACTCTTGTTGAGGCTACACCAGGCAGCCAATCATGTGGCACTTTCAAGTTATCGTAGATGGTATGATCACCAGCACCGTCAAATGATCTGAGGCGTCAAGGAGAACTGGAGACTGAAACTGAGACCACAGGAAATGGAAGCAACGACTCCTGTGGACAATAAAATCCTTATTGTTGAACTGATTTCCAAAAAAACCCAAAGTGCTCTGACCACCAGTGGAGCTGGTTTTGTTTCATTCTGAGTAGGGCTGACACCTTCTGGTCGGTCGGTTTGTCGATACACTCTTATCCAATGTCATTGGTCGTCGTTACTTTTGAAAGGCCGCGTGTCCACCAAAGTTTTTTTTTTTCTACTTTGAAAAGGCCAGGAACTCCTTTGAAAACGCCTGGCTGGAAGTGCAGTGGTTGATCAGATACGGAATACCCGCCAAAGTAAAAGCCTTGGCGCAATGTAGAGCCCTGCTCTGGATGAGGAACATAGGCAGAGAGGACGGACCTGCGGGTTTGTGTGTGTTCAACGGTTGGTCTTTTCAGTATTTGTCCCGTCCCTCCTTCACTGTGATTAGACAGCAGGTAACAAGGGACTAGGCTTCAGCGGTATCTGTTTTTCATTCCTTCCTGACATATCACTGGGGTGAACGATATAAAGCTGAGCTGCTGGTGATAAAAGTCACAGTAGCATGTACTGACATTGTCTGGCCAACAATGTGTTTCGAATACGCAGACTTAAGACTTAGAAAAGTCTTGATGGGTTTAAATACTTATGTCCCAAAGAATAATGACAAGATAGGAAATAAGCGCCCCTCTTGCTCGAGAACTTGGTAAAACTTGTTGTGACTGCTTTTGTAGTTAGAAGAATTCATCTCATGAAAATTTATATGCGGTGATACTCCAAAACATGGGCAGAGGCATTCTAATTTACACTACTCCTGTAACGTTATCCCCACCACTTGCAATCTCTCTCAGCTCAGCTGCCTGTTCCCCCAGTAGACACTGACCTCTGGTGGTGTGAGCTGTGAACTACATCAGTTCAATCAGAGTTTGTAAGCTGGCTTTTGGCTGGCATCACATGTAGTTGTCCGGGAGATCAAAGTATCAGCGGCTAAATTGTCCAGTGGGAAATATGACAAATAAATAAATTAATTAATACTAATACTAATTAAATACATCAAATAGCCTAACACTGTGTGACCTATTAAGATTCGTTGCCAAGCGACTTAAATATAAACATATAAAGACCAGATTTTCTTTGGAGCATACGCCTCATCCACGTCGGTCACGGTTTTCCCAGGCCACATTGCCTACATGAGCAGCACGTGTGCAAGGCAGAACCTCTTGGGTTTTTTTTTTTTTTCTCCCGGCGCCAGTGTCAACAAGTCAGAGCAGCCACACTGCTGCCGTGAGCAGCGCTGTTCAGGTGCAGTGTGGCTGCTGCTCAGCTGTGGAACATCTTGAGAATAGGAATCTCGCCTATTTTCCATGGGTGACGTGCGCTGTTTTCAGCAAAAATAGAGTTTGAAAATGGTCTTTGATCATACTGACATTATACCACCTTTCACTACAGTTTTGATGTCTTCATTTGACACAACTAACTCAACGCTTCCTGTTTACATTTCAAAAATAAAAGCACTCTAACAGCGTTTCTGTGGACGGAATCCCTTAATTTGTAAACACGAGGCTTTCTATTGTGAAATATTTGCAGGACTGTGTTGCTGACGATGCAGCTGCTTGCACAGCTCCAAAAACTGTAGAGTACTAGCTTTTAATAGTGGAAATACAGTAGTTACAGCAGCAACGCTGTCTGTGTAAACACTACGCTTGCAAGCCGCAGATGTTCAGTGAGAATGCTGCCAGGCACTGCTCAACACACTGCAAGTCTCAGACCAGAGATATGCTTCACTCCTCCAATGCAAGCCCGATGGTGAATAGCAGACTTGGTAATTTATAGTGATGCTTGGCTCATCAAGTCCTTTTCCTCCTCTGCCACTAAACTTGTGATTCGTCACTCTGTTCAACAGGCCACTTCTTCTTCATTTAGCTTGTTTTCAGGTTACTTAATTCAAAGTGTTTTGTTGCTGTATAAATGTGGGCTGTTTATATGAATATTTAAAACATACAGTGTGTCTGACAGTTGTTCTCTGTGGCAGGAATTCTGGAATATTAACAGCTATATTGGCCGTCAAAGTCTAGTGTAAACTCTGATGTCAATACAACATCTCTGCAGCAGTTTAATAGAAGAGATGCATTTTTATTTTTGATGGTAGTTAAAATCAGACCTTTGGGATTTCTAAAAGGCCTGGTATATGGGAATACCTTGATACCACCCAAGCCTAAAGTACCAGTGACGAATGACGCAGGGTTTTAATTAAAGCTGAACATTTTTCAACTCCCAGCAACCAGAAAAAATGTCAAACTCAGCTCAGCACCCATTCATTCATTCATTCATTCATTCATTATCCATAACCACTTCTCTTGTAAGGGCTGCAGGGGGCTGGAGCCTATCCCAGCTGACACTGGGTGAGAGGCAGGGTACACCCTGGACAGGTCACCAGACTATCACAGGGCTGACACATAGAAACAGACAACCATTCACACTCACATTCACACCTACGGACAATTTAGAGTCACCAATTAACCTGCATGTCTTTGGACTGTGGGAGGAAGCTGGCGCACCTGGAGGAAACCCACGCTGACACAGGGAGAACATGCAAACTCTGCACAGAAGGACCCCGGCGAACCCATAACTCTCTTAACCACTGCACCGCCATGCCGCCCAGGCTCAGTGCCCACTGCAAAGGATTTAAAATATACACTAGCCTCATGAAAGAAACACTGTGGTGGACACCGACACCACCAGGTAGCAGCCAATTTACTTAATCTGTTCCCTCTCCTTGAAGAGTTGGTAGAATTTCAGTCGACCAAGATTTTCCGGCCCTGATTTGGAGCGACATCCATGTTTAAAACACGACCCAAACTGAAGGTGATCCCTGAAGGGACAGAGAACTGATCTATTTATGGGAAAAATCAGGTATTTTGCAAACGTGGCCACCGTCTGATTCAAATGTTACCAAGCTGAGGTCATTTACCGAAGACCGGAGAGTTCACCCCGCCCTGACAGGAAGCTACAGTGCAGTCTTTTCTAGCACGAAACACCTACAGTACACACCGGCTCTGCAGAAACAGGAACTGTCTCCAATTACATGAAGCTTTTTTTTTTTTTTTTTTTTTTTTTTGCAGGTCAACTTGCTGAAATACTAGTGAGAAGAAATACTGAAACAAACCAGCAGGTGAGAAAACAAGTAGTGACGTGAAATATGTTTACAAATCCCAAGTTCTACGGTCTGTAGAAGTTCCAGATAATTTTCTTTGTCAGATCTCCCACATGAAGGTGCAGTCAGCGCCAGTGTGTGCAAAGTCACTGTGTCACCACACGAGGAGCGACTCATAGGACAAAACTAAATCAGTAATACCTGTCTGTGTATATATGAGTCTATACAGTATTTATGCTGTTTATTTATGGACAATTTATTTATGTGTTGATTTAGTTTTGTCCTAAAGAGCCCTCCGTACGTCCACCTGCTCGCTGGGTACAGTGACAGACTGGGCTGCGTGTGATTGGTTAATCTTCATTTGCGTCCCCGCTGTAGTGACTGCTTTTGTGTAGCAGTTAATCTGTTCCACTGTAAATAATAATCCACTGTGCGTCACTCTTCCTCCTCCTCCTCTTCTTCCTCCTCCTCCTCCTCCTCCTCATCGTCCTCCTCTTCCTCCTCCTCATCCTCTTTGATCTCCAGGTATTCCATCACCTCCTCTCCATCCTCTTCGTGAGGATCTGATTTCTGCCTACCCACCTCACCCTCTTCCTCTGACTCATCCTCCACTTCCTCCAGCAGCTCCTCGTCCTCCTCATCCTCCTCTAAGACATCCCTCTCCTCCTCATATGAGGAGATGGGCGAGTAGTGTGGGAGCTCATACACCGGTGGGCTGCTGGGGGCATCTGAGCTGCTAGGGGGAGGAGAAGAGGCGGGCGCTGCGACGGGGATAGTGATGGGTACCGGCATGGAGAAAGCAGGAAGCGGCTCAGAGGTACACGTGCCGGCGCTGCTGCTGATTTCCTGGACCTTCCTGGCGGTCGGGATCTGATTAGTGTTGGCGTTAGGAGTAGCAGAGGGGATGATGGCCATGCCCAGCCCCGAGGTCAGGGCTCTGGGCTCGGGGGTGTACTCCCTGATCTCCCCTGGCTCCAGCGGTTCAGGCCCGCAGGGGTCGTGTTCGCTGCAGCACAGTTTGCCGTCCAGCTTGGAGATGAAGAGCAGGCCGTCGCGGTGCTGGCTGCAATAGGAGCTGGGGCACATCTCGCAGAAGGACGCCGCATCCTTTCCACAGATGTCGCACTGGTGCCACGGACATTCCCAACGACCTGCGATAAATATAAAGACAAGAAGGCCAAAGAATGTGTAACATCAACTGTGACTGAAGATCTGACTTTGAAAGCTGATTTAAAGGGATAGTTAGTGGGGCTGCATGAGGTGCTTATCTGTAGTTAGTGCCGTGCAACAAGAACATCTAAAGCCCTATTTCCACCAAGCAGTTCAGTTCAGTTTGGTACACTTATTTTCTGTGTCCACTGTAAAAGTTGTGGATGGTACCAACAGAACCGTTCCTTACCGTCCCCATGTTTGGTCCCCCCTCTGTTGGGGTACCAAGCACACAGATCTAGTACTAAAAGGTGGAGCTGTGAACACTGCAGTCTGATTGGTCAGTAGAGGACGGTCACTCTGCTCAAGGCTGAGTTGTGTCTGGTTTGGGGGCTCATGTAACCACTGTTCATACTGTGGCATATTAAGCGGGTTATTCTGTTAAAGGCGGAGCCACTGACCTGCAGGTCTCTTGGTGAGATTGAGGCAGTCGGCATGGTAAACTTTGGGACAGCCGGGTCTCTTACAGGAAACCATCTGTCCTCCATCTCCGCAGCTGAAACACTCGTCCTCTCGTTCTTTGGTCACCACCACCTTGTTCTTCCTCTTGCCGTGGCCCCTCCTCTTCAGTTTACGACCTTTGTCTTCAGACGGAGGGTTGTTCTGGTTTGGAGACGAGAGGAGGTTTTAATGCTGCATTTATTTAGACGACTTCATGTTGTAGTCCTTCAATTACAGACTGAATTCAGCTCTTAAAAATAACTTGTAGCTCAGACAGCAGTGGACTGGAACTAAGTACATTTACTCAAGTACTGCACTAAACTTCAATGTACTTCACTTTACTATTTTCAGTGCAGTATTAAAGGCTCTTCTTCCCCTCTCTGACCTCAGATGTTGAATCAGATGAATCAGACAGAGTTGTATTTTGTTAGTGGCCCTCACCTTTGGCCTGACGCCCAGGAAGCCGCTGCAGTTTGGCGCTCCACACTTACAGACCGTCTTCCCGTTCCCCAAACACTCCAGGTTATAGTTGAAGGTGAGCTCTGTGCCTGGACACAAACACACAAATAAAGCTCAAATGTTTAAGCCTCATTTTAGCTTCAGTCAGTCAACTGTGTGCACTCGATCAGATGCACTGTAGAGTTTGTTCTCATCACATTACACTGAACTCACAAGAGGAGGGGAAAGTTTCACAGCCAGTGTGGACAGGAGGACAAGTTACAGTGACTAATTATCAATCTACACATCATGTGAGTACTGTAAAGCTCGAGTGCAGGACTTTTACTAATCGTCTGTGACATTCAAGCCCTCGCGACACAAGGTCACATAAGTTTCCCTGGTTGTGAAAGGCTGAATCAGCTCTCTTGTGTTCCGCAGTGTACAGATACAGTACTTAGTCACAGTGTGTAGCTGTGGTGTCGGGTTTCTGTGGCGATGTTTCTATGCAGACGCACCGGAAGTGATGCGTTTTATGTCAACCAGTCAGAGCTAACAGGGGGAGAGATTAATTTATTCATGTTACATCAGATTTGTTTTTGTTGTATTTTTCTGTTTGGCACTGATTTTCTTTTCTCAATGTTTCATCTGTATGTGCACATTTTCTTCTTTTTCTCAAAGTAAAAAATAAAGTAAGAGGGGAGAGACCAGTAACGACGGCGCTGCAGATGGTGGAGGCTGTGGCAGAAAATCCTAAGAAACGTCCAAGAAAAGTTTCTGAAGTGGAGGCTCCAGATAAAAATAAACTCAGTGTTCAGATGGGAGAATTAAGTTAAAAAAAAAAAAACACACACAAGACAATGCTCCTGGGAGAGGGGGAGATTCAGAAAGCTCTCCTGCACACACACATCATCAACAGGCCTCGACAGTGTTTATGTAATTTCTCTTAAAGCCAGAGGGGGGAGACAAACATTTGGCACTCCATCTTTTAGGCTGCTCTCAGACTGAGGGTACGTCCCAAGTCTCTTAGGCCCAATTCCAATCCAATCCCTTACAGACTCACTGACTTAGAGGCGCGTTCATGTGAAGTGCGTGAGTGTGTGAGGGCTGTCCCATTGTCAAATCGTCAAGTCAGTGAGTCAGTGAGTGAGCCCTTTATGCCCCCTTACCGTAGGTCAGCATCGATGCGGACTTACGGTAAGGAAATTACCCACAGTTCATAGCGTTGTGACGTCAAATACAGGGGTTGCCCTCGGAACACCGGAAGTAACACGGTCGGCAGATATGCAAACATTAACATTATGGAAGGAGAGCGAAAAAACAGATAGATAAACAATGAAACATTACATTAACAAGGATTTAAGATGGTACATAAACACACATGAAGTCAGAGGAATACCAGTGGTTATATTCCACACACAAAGAATAGATATCTATATCTAGATATCTATCTAGATATCTAGATAGATATCTAGATACATAGATAGATAGATAGATCGATCGACATATATATAGATATATATTCTTTGTGTGTGGAAAATATGATGACAATAACCGATAAATGATCACGCCCAGAGCCACCAATGTAAACAACATTTTGTAGAGAGGGGGATAAGTGCTGTCCCATTCCTATTTGTAGCATCCGGAGCCCTTTCAGACTCTCACACTCAATCACTTACAGCTGACGTCAGTTAAGTCAGTGAGGGTTCAGGGCTTGAGTCTTTAGGGGCCGGATTGGAATTGGGCCTTATTTTATATACTGCTAACTCCTAACTCCTTACTTGAACCGGAAGTCGTTCGAGCTCCGCCATCTTTAAGGCCGTCTCACGTCTCTTATTCCTGCCAGTAAGGAGTTAGCGTTAGGAGTTAGGAGGGATCTGTTAGGTGTGATGAGTAAGGTAACACCAGAGGTTCCTAACAGGAAGTCTTTTTCAGCTTGAGGCCCTGACGTATAAATACCCGCCCCCTACATCTGACTCATTTGAAAGAGATGGCGGAGAAAAAGAAAAAGTGTACCCGTTACATGCATTCTTTGTAATGCAACGCTGTAATTCACATGCCTACATGACTACAAAAAGTAACGTTAATGATATTTCGTGCAAGACTGTCATGTTGTAATTAAGTTTATTTCATTCACAACCCTTTGCGGTGTTCAGCGGACTGTCTGTGATGTGTGGCTGTTAAATGTGTATCTGCTCGAGTGATATAACACCACGCACACACATACACAAACACATACACAAACACATTTGCCCATCATTAATTGTACTGCATGTCATGTGAGTGGAATAATGTTTAATAGGCTGTAGGTAATATTAATTATTAATATTAATATTAATTATTATTATTACTTTCATTAATGTTGTTGTAAGCTACTGTCATTACCGTCTGTCCTGCATCTCTCTCTGTCTCATACGGATTACTGTTAATTTATTATGTTGATCTGTTCTGTACGACATCTATTGCACGTCTGTCCGTCCTGGAAGAGGGATCCCTCCTCAGTTGCTCTTCCTGAGGTTTCTACCGTTTTCTCCCCGTTAAAGGGTTTTTTTGCGGAGTTTTTCCTGATCAGCTGTGAGGGTCCAAAGGACAGAGGGACATTGTATGCTGTAAAGCCCTGTGAGGCAAATTGTGGTTTGTGATATTGGGCTTTATAAATAAAATTGAATTGATTGAGGTAGACTGACAGGTCTGATATGTCTTATTCACTCAGCAGCTGACTTGTTGAATAATAGCGAGTGGATTTAATAATAGTGATAATAATAATGATAATAAAAATAATGATAATGATGCTCATCACAGTGACAGTGGCAGGGCTACAGAGCGTTCTTTAATTGCCACAAACTTCGGCAAATGACTCAATAACAATGGTATTACATGCAAAAGTGTGTGACCAAAGTCATGATGGCAGCGGCGGTTACGGCTTTGATCAGCGAATATAATGTGACTTGGGATGTACGCCAAACGCTGGCTCCGTTATGCAGCAGATCCAGCTGTGCCGCCGTCATCAGAATAGGACGTCGCTTTACGTGACGCTTCAGAGTAAGGCCGTCTCATGTCTCTTATCAGCAATCCTCACTCCTCACTCATAACTCCTGACTCCTTGCATGTTTTCCTAAGTGGGAGGGACTAAACAGTTAGGTAAGGTGGCTAGGTAAGGTGGTTAGCAGTAATTTTAAGGGACTTGGGACGTACCCCTAGAGTCATCTCCTTTGGTCTGAATCAGGGACTAATTTTGTCACTAAGTTGTATAATTGCCTAGAGTTGGTTCATGTTCTCACAGCAGCATTTACAAGCGGACCAGATCAAATGCCTTGCGCGAGAACGCTGCTCTTGATTGGTCAGAATTTCCATGTGGGAAAAATCCAGGAAGTAAAGCAAACATTGAAGAAGAGTACACTTGCAAGATAAATGTGACACTTTCTAATGTCACAATGGAGGGACAACTACGCAGGTTGATTTTAGCGCTGCTCATCGTGGACTATATTGCTGTCATTGTTCATTTGAGTCAAACCATACAGTTTGAAAACGAGGCGCGGCTCCAACTAGAAAACAATGTTTTGATGCACTGGATGTGCTGAATGTGCATATTATTATTATTTGAATATTTATACATTTATCAAAAAACAAAAGCATCAACTATCTCCACATAAAAATCATTAAACTGGTCATTTTTGATTGTTGACCAAACACTGAATTTAAAGGTTGACTTCAAGGACAGAGCCTGGATTCTTAAACCAGCTGATCACAGAGGTTATTATTAATGCTCAGCTCTGATCTTGAAGCAGCGTACCTGCAGTGATGTCAACAAGGGCGAACAGTCCCACCCGGGTGTCTCCGCTCACCGTCCACTTCTGCGTCTCACAGTTGGGTTGACAGCAGTGGTTCATGAAGCGAGCCTCGTTCCCCTTCGGCCCGGCATCGATGATTCGATCCTAACCCACAAACACAAACACAAACACACACACACACACACACACACACAGTATTTCTACATGATGTCCACAGCATACACAGAACGTCGATGTCTCTGCGAAGATCTGCCGAAAGTAGGTCCGAGGCTTTGGGCTTGTCTGGAGTTAGGCATGCAGAAGTTCCTGAGAAGCCTCAATATGTGTGTGTGTTAGAATGGACAGTCAGGACGTTGAAGACACAGTAAATAAATATTATTTGTTAATTTTTATTTTTGCTAAATTGTCTTGTTTTGTAGGATAATGTGCAGTGTTCATACGCCCGATGCAAAGTGCCACGAATTTCAGCAACAGACACCATTTGGTTATTGAAAAATGTGATTAACAATTTAAAATGGCTCATAATATACAATACATTTTTTTTAACAATATTAACCCTGACAGATTCAACTTAGACCTTTTTGTCAAGTGTTTTCTTACTTTCAGATGAGCTGACTAACCACATTTACCTCTGTTTGAACGTCAGGGAAATTAGTCGTGAGGAACAGCCCTGGTTTTTAGTGTCAGTACGTACCGTAGTGTCAACCGAGGACACAGTTCCTGTTTAAACACACACACACACACACACACACACACACAGTCTGGCTCCAGAGTTGTACCTTGTCCAGTGTCAGCATATAGAAGTTACAGATGTCGTTCTCCTGGGCATGTCTGATCCTGGACCTGCACTCCTCCTCATCAATCACCTCCCCGACGTACTCGCTCACAAACTGACCCTGAGATAATACAACACAGCAAACATCCATTATTTAGCCCGACCCAGTCTCACTGATATCAGCTCTACAGTGGTACAGTAGTGCCAGTATTATTATTAATGACAGTATCCAGTTACCTTCTTGATGTCATGGACACAGCGGAGCCCCCAGCCTCGAGAGAGCGTCCTAAAGATCTCAACCTGGCTGTACTGACGCTTGGTGAATGCCTGGTTGAGGCAGCGTTCGCCCGCCGGACAAACCTGCAAACATTTTAGTGTTTTTGAGATCATTGTTTTGGTTTTACCGTCCACAGCTTCAACTGGTTTTGGTTCAGTTTCAGCGCTTTCATCAGGCTGTTTCAAGCTCCAAAATTCACTCATGTTCTGTCTGTCCTGTCTTTGTAGCTCCGTGTGTGGAACAGTTAAGGAGGTTTATAATGTTTGACGTGCCTGCCTGTGAACTGAATGTTCATTTCATGACCATAAAGCCCAGTTCAGACCAAAGATTTGTGACGTTTTAGAACGCTGCAGAGAAGAGTGTCAGCGGTGTGAACTGGCCAGTCTGAGTGCGACTCAAGATGGCTGATGGTGTCACCTGACACTCAGCTGGTCAAATCACCGGTGGCTGGTTTTAAAGCACGTCACCTGTTTCAACAGCCAATCAGCTTGTAGTGAAGCCCGCTGGTCAAGTCAAAATGACCGCAGACGGCTTGCTGCAGCAGGTGCTCCGTCCCCACTGAGCCCTCTGTATCTGTCCTCACGGTGTGCCGGTGTTGGACAGTGGGTCGCTGCTGCTGCTGGCTGTATGTGCTTATGCCCCGCCCACACACACACATTCTCATTGACTGATGAATTGGCGCTGGTTATATTATTGTGCCGTACTGATTATGAATACAGTCCATCTGATGCTGGTTTTGTTTTATCACTGTAGCCAGTATCTCACTATCACTATCCTCATTCAGATTTTAAAAAGCTACAAATTATATTCAGCCATAATATAAGTTAAGAGTAAGTTAGAGCGTTGTAGAACGGCACGTTGCAGGTAGTTGCATGTTTCAACTTGTCTTGTTGCAAATTTTGGTCTGAACTGGGGTGTTAACTTCTCCGTGCAGTTCTTACATTTTTGAGCCGTGGGGAACTTGACACCAAGACACAAGGCTTCATTTGCTCTTGATTTTTGAACGTCACTTAACGTGGAGCAATTAACATGAGTGTGGCGGAGGTGTTTCTGTACCTGTGGGTGACATTCGTACAGCAGCATGCGGTTGATGCACTCTGAGTCCATCCCACACGGGCTCTCATCTGTTGCCTTACAGTTGCAGCGCGGGATCTCTGATAGGTCGGCCGTAAATATCTGAACCTTTCCTATTGGTCGATTCACCTGAATGAATCAGAAAAAAAACATGAACACTATTACAACAATTAATATTACATGGATGAGAGTATGCAGACTGAGTAACAATATCGATGTGGGCCTCAAAGGACAATGTACTGTCCAGGATGACACCCAGACGCTGAACCTGAGGGGACGGACAGACTTTGGAGTTGTCAGTGGTCAGAGATAAACTGTGCACATTAGCTAAGGAAAATTTAGTACCTACAAGGAGAACCTCAGTCTTATCACTGTGAAGGTTGAGGAAGTTGTACAAGAACCAAGATTTAGTATCCAATAAGCAGTCAGACAGGGAAGTGGGTGAAAAAGTGGAAGTAGGCTTGGTGGATAGATAGAGTTGGGTGTCATCGGCGTAGAAGTGGAGTTAACGATAATAAAAGATTAAGTCACCACTGATTCACTTTTTAAGACACTTGGAGGATCAATGAAGCATTTTCAGAGTTCAGAAAGACAAAGTAAGACCACAAGTCTGAACCTTGATATGTTTGTAGGGCGGAGGCTTCCTGTCGTTCTTCCTGTCCTCCTGAAGCTGCCGAAGCTCCTTTTCCGCCTGCAGCTCACGAAATCGAACAGCCGCCTCCTCCAAAGCTGAGGAGGAAGATCAACAGTCAGAGAATCGGTCATCCTCGCAGGTACAAACTGAAGACACAACCAACATCTGCCTGAACACGCAGGATACCTTTCTTGTAGGTGGCATCGACACCTTTCCCCATCTTCTCTTTGCTGTTGGCGTCCACGTCCATATAAGGGAAGACCCTGGCCTGGTAGGTCCACAGGTAGTCGTTGGAGCCGAAGAAGTGGACGGGAAACTCCCCGACGTCGTGCCTCATACGCTGGATGTTCTCTGGGATTGTTTTGGGATGGCTGACCTCTGCTGGCCACCACCTTTATGGAGCAAGAGAGGACGAAACACAAAAGGCACAGGCAAATAAAATATCCTAAAATATCTTACTGTAACATAAATCTAATTTAGTTTAAAAGAGAAAACTGACCTGTAACGGCCAACCTTCACCCAGAGGATGTCCTTGTAACGAGGTTTCTTCCCAGCCTTGCAGTCGTTGCAGTACCAGCTGCCTTTAGGCATTTCCATGTTCAGACACTCCCGGTGGAACGCAGCAGGACAAGACTCACAGCACAGCAGACTGCCACCTGCAGGAAGGAAGGAGGAACTGCACTGTTTTCACTGTTTTAAGGTGCGCATGTGAACGTTTGCTAGCTACTGTTTGGCCAGAGCTACACTGAAGTTACATGTAGGTTTTTGGTCCTGTGTCCTGAGTTTATTTGCTCTCTTGCTGAGAGTTAGATGAAAGGATTAATACCACTCTTGTGACTGTACTATAGGAAGCAACAGCCAGCAGCTGGTTAGCTTAACTTAGCACAAAGACTGGAAACTGCAGGAAACAGCCTGGCTCTGTTCGCAGTAACAAAATCTGCCTACAAGCACCTCTAATTTATTGACATATGTGTAAGTATGAATGAAACCTGAAGTGTAGAAATGACAAATCAATTCAAATAAAAAAATCAGTAAGTTTTACAGGAGGTTATGTGCAGGCAACTAGATCCTGCTACTGCTAAGCTAAGCTAGCAGTGGCTTTAAATGTCCTGGACAGACATGAGACTGCTATAAATCCTTTCATGTAACTCCTAGCAAAAAAGTGAATAAGCGTAGTTCCCCAAATGTCTGACTTTTCCTTTAAACTACTGGCTTCAGGCTGAAAGTTTCAGCTGTCAAAGTCGTACCTTCAGTGCAGACGAAACACCAGCTGACGTTGACGTGTTCGTGGTTCTTGACGCCGCGGCGGGGGGTGAAGTGGTTAGGGCAGATGATGCTGTTGTTGGACAGGATGACGCTGCCTGCTGCCATGCACAGGTCTGTAGCGTGATAGGCTACTGGGCAGCGCACACATCGAACCAGGCGACCTATGGAAAAACAAATCGGCAGTCAGTGTGTGGACGGCGCACCAAATAACACAGGTAATTACAATGAAATGAGTGTCCCCTGGTTGACCTTTAGAGATGGACGAGCTGTTGGGGTTAGTGATGAAGCAGGTGAGACAGACGTGGATGGAGCAGCGGAAGCCTCGGTTCACAGGCGCGGTTGGGGCGTAGTTTGCGATACACTCCCCATGGTAAAACTTCCCACACACAGGAATCATACAACGCCGCACGTCCTCACTGCGCTTCTTACAGACAAAGCACGTGTGGATGCCTTAGGAAAAAATAATAATTTTCACCTTTTGAACCTTTAGAGGAGCAAGTTAACATCTATCAGATATACTTTTGAAATTTATATTTATATCAAGGGAACTATTATAACACAAATACACCCAATAACCAACCTGCTGACCACTAAGCCTTGTAAATCATACAAACAATAAACTGGAGTCTTGTTATTTGTAAAGTTTATGTTAATGTACTACAATTACAATTGGAGGAGCTCAGCAGGGTTTTTGTTGATGCTTAGAGACGCTGCTGGCTCTCTCTGATTGGCTGGTTTTTCCCAGGCTGTTTACTTACACAGTATATTTATTTAATTCAGTTGGAGGCCTTTTTCAGAGAATACTTATAGACACAGATGTACCTGATTTGCACTCCGGACAGACAAACTTCCCTTTAGGGGCCTCGGCCAGAGAGATGCAGGGCAGGTGGAAGGCTCCACAGCACTGACCCTCACACAGCAGCAGCTCCCCCGTCTTCTCACACACCTGGACAGAAAACACACCATACTTTAAAGACCAAATACAATAAGAGTGATTCAAAGTCTGGGTTGGGAGAGAGTTACTGCCTCAAGTGAAGGAGTTCATGGTCTTGTTCACGATTGAGGGTAGTATGGTTATGCGGGCGCTGCACCACACCATCGTAGTTAAAAGGTAGCTCAGTTGAAGGCGAAGCTTTCGATTTCCTGGTCCAACCACATCCCAGCCCTCACCTATGGTCATGAGCTTTGGGTAGAGACTGAAAGAACGAGACTGTGGATACAAGCAGCCAAAATGAGTTTCCTGCATGGGGTGGCTGGGCTCAGCCTTAGAGATAGGGGGAGGAGCTTGGACATCTGGAGGGAGCTCGGCATAGAGCTGCTGCTCCTTTGAATTGAAAGGGATCAGTTGAGGTGGTTCGGGCATTTGATCAGGATCCTCCTGGGCGCCTCCTTTTAGAGATGTTCCAGGCATGTCCCACTGGTAGGAGGCCCCGGGCAGACCCAGAACACACTGGAGGAATTACATATCTCATCTGGCCCGTGAACTCTTTAAGATCCCCCAGCAGAAGCTGGAAAGTGTTGCTGGTGAGAGGGACGTCTGGGGTGCTTTGCTTGGCCTGCTGCCCCTGCAACCTGGCCCCGGATAAGCGGATGAAAATGGATGGATGATTCAAAGTAGCTGTGAATATAGTCAAGTGTTTTAGATGTCTACTTTCTGTGTAGTCTGATGGTTTTAGGGTGGGACTGTTGTTGGGGATCCACAGACTGATACAAAATACATACTTAGGGCCACTGTCATCTTACAAACCTTACCTGTGGGGTAACTGTGTCACTTATGTTGATAAAATGGGAGAATATATTTTGGTGTGTTTAGTAACAAACTGTATTTTCCTCTTGCAGGCCGGTTGGAACTTAAACAGTAATGTCCCATAGTCTGTAGAGAGTGGTCTGGTACGTTCAGACATGTAGCTACAATGGCAGGAAGCAGCAGGAAGTCAGTTATTTTAAATGGACGCCTGCAGAGATGTAGAGGTTTCACTTGGTGCAATTATCCCTGCAGTGTGACATGTTGTCATAACAAGAAACTTGTGTACTTTCTAATGAGACAAGTTATCCAGTCGGTGCTTGAGGAGAAGACATAGCTGACAGTGGAGGCAAGAAATGGCAACATGACTGTTCTATAGTTTATCTTTTTGCAAATATTAAAAAATAATGTAAAAAAAAAAAAAAACAATCTGTGAGCAGGTGGAGATCAGATAGCAGAGGCCAAAACTGCACAGAGAAGTAACAGCCTCCATCACTGACAATCACTGATCTAATCTGACATCTAATTCTCACACAATAATTACCCATAATTACCCCAGGCATAAAACATAAACTAGAATTACAGCCTTGTGGTTATGTGCCTTCACACACCTGTCAAATTGCAATTTCCATCTATGTCAGTGAAAACATGGATGCTTCACACACAGAAGATCTATACAATCAGCACAGTTTCAAGATTAGAGTCACCAATTCAGTATCTGACCAAATGTCTCCCCTTCTGTTCCTGAGATATGACGTTAAAACATGACGATGTCACAGTCAAGCTGACCTTTGACCTTTTGGATAGAAAATGTCATCACTTCATTATTTTATCCTGTTAGACATCTGTGTGACGTTTTGTCATAATTAGCAAATTAATTATAGTGAGGTCACACTCACCTTGACATTTGACCACCAAATTCTAATCAATTAATTTAGTCCAACTGAACATTCGTGCCCAAGTTGAAGAAATTCCTTGAAGTTGTTCTTGAGATACTACATTCACAATTTTACTAAAAGAAGGAAATCGCCTGTTGATTTATATATATAGATCCCAGGGGACATTTTTTGTATTTGGGAGCTGTTTAAATGTGTCATTTGTGGTAGATTTTATTAATATTGTGACAGAATCTGAATCTCACTCTGAGTTACTGTTGTTCACAAACTAAAGAAATGAGAGATCATTTTAGTTTTTACTGAATATTTGAAGCAAAGTGTAAAACTAGATCACAATTCTATGTTCTTTAATTAATGATACATTTTTTTTTACTAATATCATTAGCACAAAAATACCCTGAGATATCATGATATTATTTTAGGGCCATATCACCCGCTCCTAACACCAAGAAACTTCTGTGGTAGATTAAGAAAAGTTCTGAGACAGAAAAACCTGGTGTGCAGTCATGTCAAAAATATGTCCTTATGACATGAAAACTATCTAACAGATATTTTAATGTTCCCTTGTCACCTGAGCACCTGGTTATCCAGTGAGGTAGTGACAACACACACCCAACGCTCACCTGACATATATTCTCCTTCATGGAGGCAGGACCTCCTCGGTCCCCAATGATCTTCCTCGAGGGTAAAAGTGGATCATCGCAAAGCAACAAGTCATCCTTCATGGAGGAGAAGCTGTGATCCAAGCCGGACAGGTCACCCTTCAGAGACAACGGAAGAATTCATAAATCAGAGCCTGAAAGTTATTCAGGAAGCTTCCTACAGTTACAGAAGTTACAGTTTAACAACACTCACAACCACAAAGTACAAATTATCTTTGATGTGTGCAGATATGTGATGATGTATCACAGCTCTTTTATGTGTAAGCTTTGTGTGTGAAGCAAATACAATCTGTGACTTAACTCTGATGCCAAAATTAATACATACTAAATCTCAATAACTCGATCATGAGCTTGAGCAGTAAATGTAGAGCAGCAACGATTAATTTATTAGTTTTCAAACATTACATTTACTGCAAACTAAACTGACAATCATTAATTGGTTTGAGTCGTTTTTAGGGGAAAAAAAGGTCAAATTTATCTGATTCCAGCTTTTTAAATGTGAATATTTTCTGATTTATTTGCTCCTCTGTGACAGTAAACTGGATATATTTGGGTTGTGGACAAAACAGGACATTTGAGGACGTCTTCTTGGGCTTTGGGAAACACTGATCGACATTTTTCACCATCTTCTGACATTTTATGGACCAAACGACTCAAGAAAATATTCAACAGATCAATTAGGTGCTGTAAGTTTCACCTAAAATGCCAATCCAAGGCACACCCAGAGTGAAAGCCAGTTCATGTACATGCATGGTCTTTTTCCCCAACAGTCAGAATTACTGTAAGTGCTCCTGTCACTGAGTTACACAAGTTTCAACACACTGAAATAAACGTCTTTTTTAATCCTCGTCTGAATATTTTCTTGAGAAAAGAAGCTGCAGATGACTAGAATTGGAAGGTATTAGCTGGAAAACACAATGGGGCCGTATCGTGAAGCCTCACATGGTCCAAATTCAAAGTAAATAAAAAATAGTTTTTCTAAGGTTTAGTCCAGATACTTAAAAAAAAGAAAAAAAAGAGGGTAAAACAATGTTCTGAATGTGTTATTATGAGTGAAAAACTAATCAACACAGACAGAAATGTCTATTTAGGAGCTCACTGTAAATAAAAACACTTATAGAAAACCTTCATTAATAAGAAACATAGGAGCCATTTGATTATCATTTGTGTACATTTATAACAGTCTGTGGTGATGATAAGAATTAAAAACTGCTGTGGATCTTCAGAATGTTACTGACTACAAAACCCATAATCCTCAAGTGGGGCTGGCCAATCACTGACTCTTTAAATATCTCTGAACTACAGGAAATGTGTTCCTTCAGCTCAGCTCTGGTTGGCTATCGAGGCCATAGCAACAGCACTGGGAGCTCCTATTGACTCACATGAGGTGTCAATGGAAGAAGATGAGAAAAAATATGAATGTTTGAAACTATGCATTTGTTTGTGGATATACAGTACAGGCCAAAAGTTTGGACACACCTTCTCATTCAATGCGTTTTCTTTATTTTCATGACTATTTACATTGTAGATTCTCACTGAAGGCATCAAAACTATGAATGAACAC